GTTTTAAAGAGGAAAGGTTTACCTGGTGTTATAGTTCAGTTCATAGGTTGGCACAGCAGAGGGAGATAAACAGAGGAGGGTGAGAGACGGAGCCTTCTAGGCCACGCCCCCAGTGACCCACCTCCTCTGACCTCGGCTCATTTCCCTGCATCACATTGAGCTGTAGACTCAGTAGAAAAGTCCGCTGATGAGGATCATGCACCCATGATCCAGTCACTTCTTAAAGGCCTACCTGTGAGCACAGGAGGCTTTGAGGGGACCTCTACAGAAGAAAGATACGGTCACCAAGCAGGGGATTCACACAGCTGTCACATCTAAACCTACTTCAATAGCGATACTCTCCTGTGACTTCCCAGTTCCCACTGGGCTCCAGCGTATACAGTTGGCACACCATGCACCAATCACAGGAGTAGGTACAGATCTGGACCAGAAGGGATGGCCTTTTGTCCATCAGTACCGGTGCCAATTTAGCACAGACCTGGTGAAATTTCTCAGGGTGCACAAACTCTGTAGGAATCTTGGACTCATAGCTCTCCAGTGGGGCAGGATACAGCCCCTGGGTTAACTGGCTCAGTGTGCTACACTCATGCAGCGGGACCTGAAGGATGCCCAGGGAAATGGGGTTCCCAAAGCAACTGAAGGTCTTGAGCTGGGAGCAGCATCTCAGGGTAGGCAAGATGGCAAGGAATTGGGCATCTGTGATGTCACAGTGCTCTAGGACCAGGGTCTCCAGGGTGCTGGCCAGTTTGTCTAGCAGAGCCTGGAGGGTCTCCGGGTTGAATGACTTCATTGAGAACTTCCTAAGACTCAGGGACTTCAGCTGGCTCGTGCTTGGACAGTGGGCCAGATGCTTTAGGTCAGATTCCTTCAGTGGACTTGAACTCAAGGAGAGGGTCTCCAAGGGGGTCTGGCTCCTGAAGATTTTGTGCAGAGTTCCTTCCAGGAAGAAGGTGTCATCTATATGCAGCTCCTGGAGAATTTGCCCCTGTCCTAAGTGAAAAGCGTAGATGTGGGAATGCCTCTTGTTTTTCCAGGCTGAAGTATATACTTCTTGGCTCAACCTACTGAAGTGAAATGTGCGAAGGTTCATCATCTTCTTGAGCTGAGGGACAAATGCTTTCATGCTTTCCCGATCCCAGTCACTGGAAACGTCCAGCTCCTGGCTAGAGTCCAGTTGCACGGCACGAAGAAGCTTCAGGATTGTAAAGACAGCTTTGGACTTGATCATCACCTTCTCACAGCTCAGGTATACTGAAGCTTTTCTCTTCCTGGCCCACTTCAAGAGACAGAGCTGTAATTCATCACAGGTGGCACAAGACCTAATCCAGGCTTCAAAGCAAAGGTGCGCAAATATTGTCAAGGTCGACTTCTTCCTCAACCCAGGATTGCCTCCTTCCTTACTGCGGGCATCTTCTGAGTGGGCAGCCCTCATGGCTCTGGGCCCTACAGTCCAGAAGTCCCGGTGTACATCCCTCCAATCCAACACCTGCAGTCTCCACCTGTGGTGAACCTTCTGGGACAGCTGAATGTCAATTCCTTCCAGTAGGACTTGCAAGGTCCATAGGTTTCTCTGTTGCAGTGTGATTTCTCCAAACTGAGAGTGTGGGGTCTTTGGTTTCCTCAGAGTCATCAGGGTCCTCAAAGGGAGGCAGGGGAAAGGCCAGGCCTATACCATCACTTTCAGGACCTCATTGTGTTCCCTCATGAAGGCCTCCATGAAAATTTCATGGAAGATCAGGGAGGGCAGGTCATGCAGAGCAGTGCTGGCTGTGATGTCACTGTTCAGCAGGCTCTGCTTGGTCAGCTTATACAGAGTGGGTTCTGTGTAGTCATCCTGAAAAACTCCTGTAATAAAGCAGTCTGGAGGCTGAGGCAGGAGGATCGCTGTGCTTTCAAGGCCAGCTTGGACTACAAAGGGATATCAAGGCCACTCTGAACTAAAAGGTGAGCCTGTTGCAGACAAGGGTGACAGAGCTGTGGGATCCTGGCGGGACCGGGCGCTGACTGGAAGCTCCAGGACTGAGCCTGTTAGGTTTTTCATATAGGGGAAACCATGCAATATTTAAGCTTGTGTGTCTGATTTATTTAATTTATCATTGTGGTATGAAGGTACAACCATTTTCCTACAAATGACTCAAGTTTATCTTTCTTTGGCAGAGTAGTTCTCCATAGTATGTAAATACCATTTTCTTTATCCATTTCATCTGTTGATAGAAAGGCTACTTCTAAGATTTAGCTATTAAGAATTGTGCTGCTATAAACATGGCTATGCATGCATTACTGTAATATTAATCTTTAACTCTTTTGGAAGATACCTAGAAGGGGAATAGCTGGGTTGAGTAGAATTTCTAGTTTTAGTTTGTTGTACATTTCTTTTTAAAGTTTATTACTGGGTATTTCATCTTTTTTTGCTGCTATAATGAGTAGAATCTTTTCCCTTATATCTTTTGACTTCATACTGGTAAACTATATAATAGTTGTGATTTTTTTTGTGTTAAGTTGAATTGTTTTATTTTGTTGTAATTTTTATTGGTTTTCTTGGATTTTCAGGTGAAAATTAGGGTAGTTTTACCTCTTCCTTTCCAATTTGCTTACCTGTGATTGTTTTCCTTCGTCTAATGACATAGGCTGGTACAACCAATTTAGTAATAAATAACGGAGAGACTAGGTATCTTTGTCTTGTTCTTCACTTTCGAGAGAATTCTCCTAGTGATTTCTCTGAGTAAAAGGCTAAATGCACTCTTCGCCAGACCATCCCTCTGTCTGTTCCCTTCACTATCTTCATTCTCATCCTTAAACAAAAATATTTGGTCACCCGTATATTGACCCATGTATATTGTTTGTTCTCTTCTCCTGGAGAACACTGACTGACAAGCCATGTGGTGTAGGAGTTCCATTCCTAGATACATACCCAAGATAAATGAAAATACATATCCACACAAAAATATGTGCACAATGTTTACGGTAGCATCATTCATAACAGCCAGCTCCATCTGCTGATGAATGCATAAGCAAACTGTAGTGTGTATACAATGAGATATTTTTCAGCCATCAGAAGGAATGAAGTACCTACCCATGGTACAACATGGATGAGTCTTACGGTGTATGAGGAAACCAGTGATACACGGTGTATCGATAGCTAACTGTATCTCTTTATATCTTCTAGTGCTTCTTTTTCTCTGGTGAACATTGCTTGATACTATGTTTGATCCAGCAATTCCATTCTTAGGTATTGTAGATATCTCTATATATTACACACATATCTCTAAATAGGTATCTAAATGATCTTTTCCTATATAGAGATAGATATCTTTATCTACCTACCTACCTATCACAGGGAGAGAGAGGTTGAAATTCACTGTAACACTGAAAGGAATTGGCTTACTTGATGGTAGAAGATGGCACATGTGACATTTGTCAGCCAGAGTAGGAGGCTGGAGATTTAGGCAAGAGTTGAAGTCTGGAGCCCAAAGTCTGTAGCACAGACCAATGGGCTGGAGACTCACTTAGGGCTTCTGTCCCAGACTTGGGCAGAATCCCTTCTCTGGGAACCTCAGTGTTTGCTCTTAAGGCCTTTGACTGGATGAAGATCATTCATGTTAGCATAATCTTCTTTACTTAAAGCCAACTGATGGTAAATGCTAATAACATCTTCACCTACACAGCAGTATCTAGACTAGTGTTTGACCAAATATCTAAGCACAATAGCCTACCCAACCGGATGCAGAATTGATTATCATGTACATCAGTGGTCTAACCTGTACAGGAATGCCCAGGCTGTTTTCCAAAGCAGCCACACCATTTTACATCCCACCAGTCCCGTGTAAGGGTTCTGACTTCTCCACTTTCTCAGCAACACTTATTAATGTGTGTTCTTTTGATTATAGCTATCCTAGTGTCTTATCGTGGGGATTTGCTTTTCTTAATTCAAAGCTATGTCTCTAAGATTCATCTGAGGTGTCACATACAGCTTTTCCTTTGTTTTCATGGTGATGTGATATTTTCTTTTGTTAAGGTACCATAGTTTAGTTATTGTCCTGTTGATGGATAATTGTTTCCAAGTTTTTACTTTCATGAACAGTCTTATGCATGTCTCCCAGCACACGCATGCAGGAGTTTCTCAAGGGACAATGCATAGGTGTAGGAGTGGTATTGCTGGTCTGTGGGGTATACACTGTGAAATAATGCCAGTGTGTTTCCAACACCACCATTAGTAAGACTTCCGTCTGCCGGTCTGCATTTCCCCACCACTTGGAATTATCAAGCCCTCTTTTGCCAGTTTCATGAGTTTCTCAATTTGCATTTTCCTGGAGGTTAAGCATATTTTCCTATGTTTTTTAGTCAGATAACTGCTCTTTCTGAAATGCTAGTCTGTGTGAGTTACCCAAATTAGGTCATTTGTCTTATTGATATGTTCAAATTCTCTGTATATTCTGGATATTAATCTTTTATCAATTATGTTTATTACAGACATCTAGTGTGTTATTTCCCGTATTGTTTTTTGATTAAGTTGTTGATTTTAATGTCATTTATCATTAATGCTACAGTTTTGTGCTTATTTCTTAAGAAAGCTATGTTTAGCTACTGCATTATTGTAGTCAAGCTTATTTACTATAATTCTTTCCCTTATCTTCAAATAACTTGTTTCCAAACTCTACAAGGGTTACTCCCCTGTATATATGGTGCTTTTAAAAACTTTAAACATGTCAAAGAATGGAGAAGATAGAAAAAAAAACATCATAAGGTGGTTTATACCTGAGGTCTGTGTTTTATAGACAAAATACATATTTAACATGATTGGTGAAGTCTTCTGTACCTCTTCTAGATGGCAGATAATAGTGAATACTGTGGCTTTGCCAGTAGCTTACTCATTCCTTCTGTAACAAAGCGTATATTAATGAGTGGGACACATAATCAAAAGACACAGAGTTCTCTGTTTTGAGCCATGAAACATGGAGACAAATACTAAAAGTGTGCCTGTTTTTAAAATCTCAATTTAGGAAGAGGACCACCTAGCCCGGGTGGAAGAGGCAGTAACTCGTATGGTTGTATGTGCACTGAAAACTTCCGAGGATCCACACAGCACCCGAGCTTGGTTAAACCCCACCGAGGTACTCTGGTTTTTACTGTGGCTGCTGGCCCTAACTAGAGCATTTGTTTCAACCTTAACTCAGTGTGCACAACCATTCCAAAGAGTGTTTCTTTTCCCTCAGGTTGAGGCAACATCCCATGAAGTCAACTGTCGCTACTTAAATGGAGCTGTTTCTGCCTTTTTTGATCATCACAGAACACCCAAGGCAGTAGAAATTCAAGCACTGAAAACAAATAGGGAGAATGTGGAAAAGAAAGAATTAAATGTGTCCAGCCACATGGAGGTGGCCCAAACACACAACCAGGACTTAAGCCTGGCACCTGGAAAACAGGATGCAGTGAGCCTCTTTGGCCCTGATCTGTTCCCTGTAACACCAGGACCTAAAGAAGAACACCCTTCAGAAAGAGGTGGCATATTTGAAAAAGATGGTAAAGAACTGGTTGACAAAGATGGAGAATACTTCGCAAAATCCTGCTGTGCCAGGAGGCAACAAATGAGTAAAAGTGAAAATGTGGTGGAACAGACTGCTTCAAATAGTACTCCAGGCCTATCTCAGGCATTCATTTCTACAGATGATTTGCTGGACTGCTTGGTGAATCCACAGGTAACCAGAATGGTAGCGCAACTTTTGATACAGGGGAAAAGCTTGTGATTCTCATAGAAGGCAACTTTTTAAATAACATTTAAAATATATATTTGTAAAATACAGTATGATTTTAAAATAAAAGATGTAACAGCAGAAGGTCAACCTGCACGTTTATAAGTTCTTACCTAATTAAATTTCAGTCTGTTGCCACCTCCTTCCGTGAACATTGCCTTCTCTCCTCCGTGCCTTCGCCTGACCTCCCTGTCCTCTCAGCCTGTATCACATGTAAGCCCCAGTGTTTCGAAGCAGCAGGCAGTCTCCATCAGCTTTCACCAGGTACTGACCTGCTGCTTGGTCTTGTAAGTCAAGCTTTCTGGGAACACTCCCAGGCCATTCATCTCACATTGCCTATGGCAACTTTAGGATTACAATGACAGAATAGAATTGAGATCGAGACTGTGTGGCTTCAAAAACCAAAGAGAAAAAATAAATTCAGTATCTATCCTTTACAGAGTTTGCTGGATGGATTCCAGCCTGGATCTGAGGTGATACCATGTCTAACACCAGCAGAATTCTCAGCGGTTAACTTCTGTCATCTAAAGCAAGACACCAGTCAGGAGGCCAGCAGGTGGGCTTCTGATAGGAGACCCCTTCAGAGAAAGAGCTGGGGCATGTAGGAGTACCAGTCCTGGGGCTAAAAGGACCAGGTGCTCCTGACCCGAGACAGTGACTAAAAGCTTAATTTAATGAAGTTGATACCATTCTCTACATTTGCAAACCTGGGGGATAATTATTACCATTACTGTCCAAGAATTTAGAAATTAGGAAAGCTTACTGATCTCTGAATAAACATGCATGACACAAATACACCACAAAGACACCTGAAGTCTCCTTTTGAGATGAATTGAGTACTTGCCCTACCCTTCTATCCTCACACCAAGGTGTCCGTCCAAAGAAAATGTGTGCCTTCTAAGAGAGCGGGGCAGGGAGCCAGCTGCTATGTGAGCATGCCCAGGGAAAGAAGGATCTAAAAAGAGCCCTTCGGGGGCACTTGTCACCAACTGTCCATGAAGCAGGTCCACTGTGTACTTGTTAACACCTTGTCTTGAGTCCACTGAGACGACACCCATGTACACAAGTTACACAAAGCATGTTTATGACTTACGGATGAGCAGCAAGGGACAACAGAAGCCTAGGATCCATGTGAGCTGGGCTCTCAAGGCCCCAGAAAGCTACCCTGGACCCCACTCTCAGCCTGCCCTGCAGTATGTACCACAGCTGCTGTTCTCTCTGGCCACCCACCAGGCCTTCCCAATACCACAGTGGCCTTGTTCTGGCAGGGCTGCTTGCCAGGCTGTTTTCCCTCCAGATTTACTAAACTGCAGCTGCATTTCACCTTCCTAAAATTGCCAGTAAATATTAGTACTCTAAGGGTCTCTTGTTGCTGTCTTTAATTTTCATCAGCAATGGCCACTGCTCATCATTAAGCTTCCCCTATATTTGCTCTTTAGGAGAAAAATTGTTTTGACCAAGTGACATTTTTCAGGTAGTTTTCCTGAAAAAGAAGGAAAATGACATATTTGATATTCTTTAGATTTACCGAGTGGATCATTCTTCAGTGCAACATCCCCTGCTATTTAGCCTTGCTCTGAGTTTGCCCAACCCCTGCAGAACAAAATCAAATCAGAGCAAGTTTATCTTTTTTATTCTAACTCTAGTGTTCGCGCTGAGCTCAGGTAACAGTGGCTAGGAAGTCACTCCTGAGACAGTAAGAGTCCTTGCCAGTCCGCTTCAAAAAAAACAGCAGCAGCAGAAATTTCAGGATATGGCGCCGGTCCTGTCGCGCTCCTCGACTCCAAGTGAGTAGTTCCCAGTGGGCAGGAAGGGAGGGAGGGCGCCTCTGTCCTCCGGCGCCCCCTAGTGTCCGAGGGTACCACCTGCGCTGGCTCCACACTACAATCAGCTCTGGTTTCTTGGCTTATAGAAGTTGAAAAGAAGAGACCCGAGGGAAGAAGCCAGAAGGAAAAAGGAATACAGAGGTATTTCGCAGATTGTCTGAGATATTCTGGAAGCAGTCTCTGGAGGCCATATTCTGTGGTGAGGAAGCAAAGGCTTGGTGTGCAGTCACTGAGACTTGCTGGCTCAGGTGGAGGGCTCCTGCCTAATTGACCTCAGGCAAAGAAACCTGAGTTCTAAGCAGGTTTCCTCAGCCCTGGAAATGTGCGTGTAATGCTTACCTCACAGGATTGTGTGTGCAAGTAAGGTAACGTATGGGAAGCACCTACTATATGACCTGGACAATCTAGGTCGTCAGTAAGTGGTGTTTGAATCTGAAATTTACCTAAGGGAAAAAAAAGCAGATTAGCAATATGACTACTTTAACTCCTTTGGTTTATTTATATGCAAGGTTTTAAAAGCTTATCAGAGGCTAGGCTGCGAAGGGAAATATGCTATTTTTTAGAAATTTTTTTTTAAAGACAGTTAATACATTGTCCATGTTGTATTACGGTAATTTATTTTTTCTTTTTTTCCTCTCATTCTGACTTTTAGGAAATAAGCTATTTAATAACCTTACAGTTCACTAATCATAGCACAGTAGGTTTCCACTGAAGATGTAGCACCCATTGTCCCACTGTTTTCACTGGGCAGTGGAGAAAGCAGGTTTGGGTTTAACACTGGAAAGGACCTTCTGCCTGCCACACAGCTCCAGGGAACACAATTCACCCAGATAGTGAGCTAAATCCCAGTGTCCAGTCTGTGCAGGGTGCAAGTGCACTGCAGTACCAGAGCCCTGGATGCAGCTGCCCACCCCCATGGCATGGTCTGCTTTGTGGTGAAAGAAGTTCCCATCATGGAATATGTTCAACTGGAGGCAAATAAGTCATGGATGTTGATGAGACGATTCCTACTCTGGACAGGAGTCCGACCAGGCTGTTTCATTCCTAATTGGCTTATCAAACATTTATGGGATGTCCATATCACAGGCACAGAGCTCAACCCAAGGACAAAAACATAAATAAGATCCATCCTTGTTCAGGGAAGGCGGTAGCCCTACCCTTCATGCTCCGCTCAGCACTATGGCATCCTGACACTATTCCAGCCCTCAGTTTCCACTAGTAGCAGCTAGAATTGCATGACTTGTGCCTTCTGCCTGTAAGACTGTTCTTCTGTCCTTCCTGAAAACAGAAACGTGCTCTTCTCCCACAGATTTGATGTCCACACACTTGTGGACACACAGCTGTAACTTGTTATCTGATTTAAATTCTCAAATTTATTTGTTGTCAAGTTGGGTTCATTTCCAGCCGTTATGAAAGAGAAGCTGAGGGAAGTGATTTTGGTGGCAAAGAAGTCTGATTTGGGGCTGGGGGTGTAGCTCGGTGGTAGAATGCTTGCCTAGCATGCACAAGGCCCTGGGTTTGATCTCCCAAAGAAGGGGGGGGGGATGATCTTTTGATCTTAGGAAAACGTTGTGTGTGTGGGGGTTAAACTTATTTTATAACTAGCTATGTATGATGTCTTTCAGGAAGAAAACCAAAATGTTATCTTCTAAAAGTAATGAGGTATTCTGGGTATGCTTGGTAATCATAAAACACCACAAATAAACTCGGGTTGTGCACATTGTCCGTGACCGTGTCGTACAGGTCAGTAGGATTTTGAGGGTCCCTTGAAGGAGGCACAATTAACGAGCTGTTTCCGTTTGTGTACACTCCAGTGAGTACTCGCACATAATACATATGCTTTTTCCCATTTGCATCTGGTCTGGAGTATGTGTCATTGGCAGAATAACTGGCACTGACAGCAAAATAGGTTCCCTTTCCATATGCCACAGCTGTGAAGAGAAAACAAAACACTTTTAAGAATTTCATTTTCGTGTATAATTTGACATGTTGGCCCAATATGTCAAGTCATGTAAAAGAGGTGTCAGATTTCAACATCATGAGTGTGTTTCATTTTTAAAAGTCAAATTTCCCACCTCACAGCCCAGACAGGCCCCTTCTAGCTGAAATACAGTGAGTCCTACCCTGAAACTTCGGCTACAGCCTGGCCACCAACTGTGGGAACACAATAAATCCGCAGTGTTCCTCGCTACCTTGGGTTCTCACGGCCAGCACCCGCTTTGGGCAGCCAGATTCCCCGCTTCCTTACCATTCTTTCCAGCGTAACTGCGGTTAAATCCATTCCCATTGACGTGAGGCACCGAGTCAACATCTGTGCCATGGAAGAGCAGCTTCTCATTGATGACCTGGCCATTCTTGCCATCCATGATCTTTTTCTTTGCCTGGTAGCTATTCCAGAGATCTGGATTCTGGATCCTCTCAATCTACAAATTATTAAAGACAAACATTCTGCCAGTGCCAAGAGCACTTGCCAAAATGCAACGAACGAAACATGATCACTGTTTTTCATAAATAAAAATTCAACAGCAAATCCAATGCCAGATGGCAGCTTTTGGCCTCCAGAAATCTTTTTAGATCCAGTATTTTAATCATAAAAAACAGGCATTGGGACCAGTATTGGTTTAACTTCTGACATCTTTTATGTGCTGCACGCGAGCAAACAATGTCTAGGATGTTAAGCACTCATTATATATTAGGCTGACCCAGACTCTCCAAAGGCTGCTTATTATGTGCACTCCAGTTACTCCTGTCACTGCCTGCCTGGCCCTGTCACTGCCTCTTGCCACCCCAGCATTCCTGGGACACTGGCTGAACTAGCCACTGAACACAGGACCTTCATACTGTGCTACAACCCCAGGCTTTTTCTATTGTTGAGACAAGGTCTTGCTAAGTCACTAAGTTGCCCAGGCTGAACTTGATCCTGTGATCCTCTTGCCTCAGCCTCCCAGAGGGCTGAGATTACAGGTGTTTGCCATCATGTCCAGCAGCTGTCCATGTTCTAACAGTGAGAGAGGCAGCAGAGCATCTAAGAAAGAAATTAATGGAAAAAGAACTGATCCACTTGGAAAAGTGCAGCACTAACCCTGATGGGAGGGGATCTGGCTGTAGACCAAAGTGGCCATGCCTTTGGCTGCCTTTGAGCAGTGGCTGCTGGGGATGTGGCAGAAACTGCCTGGCTCCCCAGTCACAGTTCACCATTTATACTCCTCTACTCACCAAGTAGGGGTACTTCCATAAAGCTGCCCTGGGGGGGAATGAGCAGTGGGCCGAAGTGGCCAGGGGTCTTCATGGAAAGGCACAAGCTAAAGGTTCCGTG